ACTCGGAGTGCTTGGGTATGGTTAGGAGGACACTGACTTTTTCAGTCTGCCTTATCTGTGTTTCCTGATAAAATACATTGGAAAATCCCATAGGGGGAAAATTCCACTTAGGGTTAGGGTTTGGTCAATATGAACTCATAGAGCAAAATGGACATCACCAACAAACTCAGAGTGCTTGCGTATGGTTAGGAGGGCACTGACCTTTCTAGCCTGCCCTACCTATGTTTCCTGGTAAAATAAATGGGAAATGGGAAAATCCCATAGGGGGAAAATTCCACTTAGGGTTAGGGTTAAGTCACCATGAACTCATAGAGCAAAATGGACATCGCCAATAAACACGGAGTGCTTGGGTATGGTTAGTTGGGCACTGACTTTTCTAGCCTGTCCTATGTTTCCGGGTAAAATACATGCGAAAATTCCATAGGGGGGAAATTCCACTTAGGGTTAGGGTTAGGTCAACATGAACCCATAGAGCAAAATGGACATTGCCAAGAAACTGAGAGTGCTTGGGTATGGTTAGGAGGGCACTGAATTTTCTAGCCTGCCCTATCTATGTTTCCTGGTAAAATACATGGGAAAATCCCATAGGGGGAAAATTCCACTTAGGGCTAGGGTTAAGTCACCATGAACTCATAGAGGAAAATGGACATTGCCAATAAACACGGAGTGCTTGGGTATGGTTAGGAGGGCACTGACTTTTCTAGCCTGTTCTATCTATGTTTCCTGGTAAAATACATTGGAAAATCCCATAGGGGGAAAATTCCACTTAGGGTTAAGTCACCATGAATTCATAAAGCAAAATGGACATCACCAACAAACTCGGAGAGCTTGGGTATGATTAGGAGGACACTGACCTTTCTAGCCTGCCCTATTTATGGTTCCCGGTAAAATACATGGGAAAATCCCATAGGGGGAAAATTCCACTTAGGGTTAGGGTTAGGTCAACATGAACTCATATAGAGCAAAATGGACATCACCAACAAACTCGGAGTGCTTGGGTATGGTTAGGAAGGCATTGACTTTTCTAGGCTGCCCTATCTAGGTTTCCTGTTAAATTACATGAGTAAATCCCATGGGGGGGGAATTCAATTTAGGGTTAGGTCAACATGAACTCATCGAGTAAAATGGACATCGCCAACAAACGTTGAATACTTGGTATGGTTAGTAGGGCACTGACTTTTCTAACCTGCCCTATGTTTCCTGGTAAAATACATGGGAAAATCCCTTTGGAGGAAAATTCAACCTATGAGTTGATTCATTTAACAATAGACTGTGATGGAATAAAGCATGGTTATACATTCTTTAGGTCAAGGTATATGTAGGTATTTGCACCATAGGGACACTCCAAAAGGCCTGCAACATAGGGTCTTGGTGGACTAAAAAAAAAAGCTCAAGTCCTTTCCCAGTTTTTACAATTCTACTAGTGCAACGTTATTTGGGAATAACCCCTTCTGATCTGTTACCCACAAAATTGCATAATTCTGCAGCTGTAGACAAATATTTGCAGTAGGAGCTTTTCTGCACTGCTTGGTTGTTCTGTCATTAGAACCGGAAGGCAGAAATGGATGATGGTTTTCCTCTGTTAATTCCCTTCTCACCTTCAAGGTGATTCCAGGGCTCATTTCTCTGCTGAAGTACAATTTTTCTTATCATGGCTTTGTGGGTGCATCTGTCCTGAGGTTGGGAGAATTTTATTTGTTGCAGGCTAACCTCAGAGGAAGCACCCTTTCAACTAAGCCAATGCTTATCATGCCTAGGCACTGATCTTTTCAAGGATTATTTAATAAGCAGGAAGCTGGAATTCTGAAAAACAAAGGGCCAACACCCAAAATTATGTTTATTGCCAAGGATATTTTCGTGCCTCAGTCTTAATAATAAGAGAGAAGACTACTTTAGCCCAGTGCCCCATTTTGCCCAGTGCTCCATCTTCATAGAGCAAAAAAAAATGATAAAAATAAACTGGGGAGGTGGGAGCATGATTGAGTGAAGGGAACAGAGCCCCAATAATGAGAATTTTGGTAAATGAGTCCTTTGTGGAGACCTTCACCCACCAAGGTGTCCACTTTCTAAGCACACCCTTAACATGCTCTGAATTTGAAGTGTACTCGATTGCTGTAAAGCAGTGGTTCTCAACCTTTTAATGCCGCGACCCCCAACCGGTCGTAAGTCAAGGACTAAACCGGTTGTAAGTCGAGGACTAAACCAGTCGTAAGTCGAGGACTACCCAACCGGTCGTAAGTCGAGGACTTTCCCTGCCCGGGAGCACCGCACATGTGTGGTTCCGCCCCCTGCGCCGGCCGAGGCGTAGCTGGCAAGCGGCAGAGATGGAGCAGGCTGACCACCAGCTGGCCCAGCTCAAGGGAGGTAAGGCACCCGACGGAAAAGGGGAAAAAATGGCGGACAGCCTTGCTTGGCGACCCCCGTGAAATGGTTGATCGTGACCCATAGGTTGAGAACCGCTGCTGTAAAGGGTGAGGATATCTAGTTTCAATGATAGCATCACATTGTTTACCTGAAATATTTTAAGGGAGCTTATAGAGGAAAAAAGAAAGAGGGAAGCTTTTTCCAGCAAAGGGTTCCGTCAGTCATGAGGAAAGAGGTGAATTGTTTTATGAGCTTCTCTGCTAATACGTATTGCGCTTTTCATGTATCCTTTATTTCACCTGTCATGAACTCCTTGGATTGGGTGGCCTTAGAAAACATACCCATTATATCATTTAGTCATAGCCTTCTATATATAGTTATGTCATCACTGGTCAATGTAAAAATTATGCTAATATAAGAAGTTAGAACAACAATGTTACCTGCTCTCAAATATCAACCAATGAATTCAGTTTTTGACATTTTCATTTGAGAAAGTATGCTAAGTTGTTTTTGTTTTTTGTTTTTTTGCCAAGCTGCTTTATGGGAATCCAAGCCAAGGAAGAAGATAAGAAAAACAAACTGCAAGTGACAGGCTAAACAGAACATGATTATTCAAGATTTGTTTTTTTAATTTTTAAAGTACTGTATACATACCCAGCCCCATATGGCTATTCGTTTTTCATCAATAAAACCCATGTCTATAAACTTTCTGTTTGGAAGAAAAATGCACACAATTAATTAAAGAAACACAGATGTTTTAAAGTACTTCAGGATGCAAAAAACATGAGAAGGGTTATGTGGTAGAAAAATATTTTAAAAATCCTCTAATAATTACACTGTTCATAGATATCAGTTACTTAATCTGGGTCACAGCCTAGTAAAGCCAAAAGTCATTTAGATTTTATCTTAAGCCACAATGTTACATGTACAAGTTTTGGCAACTTTTGCCAAACCTAACCCTAACCTTCTAATCTCTATTTTAGAGGCAATGCAAAAATTCTGCTTCTAATTTTCAACTGCCCTTTCCAACCCAAGTTTAAACAAGCCAGGATAAATTGTGATTTATACATGTAACTTCACTGATCTTTCATTAACCCTAATCCTTTGGACTTAATTAACTTATCACTAATTATATCTATGTATATATAAAATAAATTCCAAGAAGGGATTTTAAAAAAATATTTTTCTTTTGCCTATGGTATATTTATCAGACCAGGGCTTGGGCTTGGCAATCACTAGATGACCACAGAACTTGATACACCTGTTCTCTTTAGTTTCATCTTTTGGGCATCTAGATTTTTGCAGTCTTGATCTGATAACCTAGCCTATGGGATCTGCTGATGTGCCCAGCTTCAAATATTTAAATGTAATATGCACTTTAGAAAAATACAGGATTGTTTCTGATAATGAAAAGGTGGGATAAAAGCTTTAAATAAAATCTGAACCTCCCACTGTATATGTTTGTGTGTGTATACGTGCAGTCTGGTGATTTCACAGTAGTGTCTCATCCGGTCTCCTTATCCTATGTTCAAATCAAAGTTCTACATAAAACCGTGTAGCTCCAAAGGATAGGGAGTACTTTCCTCTATCCGGCTTTTAGGACTGAATATGAGAGATCCCTTTTGATAAATTTGCCCAACCTTTCCAAGTGGGTCTATATAGTAGATCACTGAAAGTCTTTTGGAGAGAAGGGAGTTCAGTTTTTATTAGCTCTTTCTGATTTGCTAATTTAAGGAACTTATTTTTCTTTTAGCTCTGTTTTGTAAGTTTGCCTTTATTATTATTCGTCACACAGTCAGTCAGATGTTCAGACTGGGTTTGGCATTTTTGTCCACCTTCCCAAGATTTTGAGATAGGCAGATGTGGATGCGTGATAATGTTAGCGGTATCGTCACAGGATGTAAGCCGAGTAAAGCTGCTTTTTGCAATTGATTGATGGTGAATTTGTTAATGGTGATGGTGTTCAAGAGGTGCTCCAGTTATTTCAGGATATATTATTATATTTATTATTAGTTGCCTAGATGACAGAACTATTTAGTAATATTTAGCTTTTAGATTGCACTTTCACCTATCTAAAATACTATCTATACGTTTTCTAGCTGTAATCTTTATCTACAACTTGCAAGATAAATTGAGCATGTTGCAGAATTGGGGGGGGGGAACTGAGGCTAAGGAAAAGTCATTTGTCTCAATCTTATTGTGGGGGAAGCAGAATTTAAACTAAGGAGTTTTTAACAATGAACAGGCATCTTCTACAAAAAACCCTTTCCTTGGCTTTCAGTTGAAAGCATTGGTTGGACTCTGAGGTTGGATACTGGAAATCCAAATTCAGATCTCAGTTTATTAACAGGCAGGTTAATCTGCTCCCGCCAAGGTCACATTGCAAGGTTTCATGAGGCTATCCCACAAAGAGGTAGGTAGCCTAAGAACACAGGAAGTCAATACTGTCCAAAGGAACGGTAAGCCCATTACTACCAACAGAAATTAATGAGGATCAACAGGGAATACAGCAACAGAGAAGCAGAAGAGAAAATGATCAAAATATCAAGTAGGTGAAAGATTCTTCCTGTCGATGCTTACTATAAAACCTCACTTTTGGGATGATGTATTATTAATATTTATTGCAATAAAAACTAAACTAAAAAAATAATATTTCAATCAACCTTGACATCATGTGATATTATTGGCAACAATGCAGAAGTGTTCTGCCATTGTCTTTTTCATATGAGTCTTGTCTGTGTATCTATCCATCCACCTACCTACCTACCTATCTAAAGGGCAGGAGTCACAGCAGAGAAGGCTCTTCTCCTCAATCCCGTCAGCTGAAATTTCTTGACTGACGGGATCCTCAGCATGCCTCCTCTGCCAGCGCAGGTGGGGCAGTAGAGTAAAATAGGAAATTTGCCATTATCTTTTTTTGACAGAAGCGTGCCACCGCACTCTTTCAGTTGTAGCTTCCAAATGCCCTTCAATGCTAGCTCCATGTAGAGGGCATTGCAGCATCCAGACATGAGATGACCAGGGCTTGAATGACTGAATACAGGGACTCCTGTCCTGGCCATGACTGCTACTGTTCTTCAAGCAGAAGTCCCGAGCCCAGGAGAACACCCCCCCAAGTCATGAACTGGGTCTGTCTGGGGTAGTGCCACCCCATCCAGAGTTAAAGGTATCAAAATCCCAGATCCTGAATGCATGTTTTTGCTGGTATAGAAAAATGAAATGTACTTATGAATGAGTACGTGTAAAACCAACCTAGATCCCATCCGTCATCCCAGTATCTTCAGTTTATTAGTTTATGACACTAATTTAAAACTGTTATGGTTACTATAAAACAAATAATTCTGCTATTGCACTGTACAAAAAAATAATAATGATAGCAAGATGGGAATCAAATTGCCCCATCTACTTCACTCTGTGCATTTAAAGAGCAAAGAGGAAATGGAAGCGTCAGAAAGGAGAAATGGGGTGAAAGAGATAAGAGATTTGTATAGTTACAGGAACAATCAAGCAAGATGTAGAGGTGAGAAGCTCTTGGCTCTATTCTTACTCCTACTGGTTCATAATTTGTCAAGCCAGAGTTAATAATCTTTGCTCAGTTTAAAAAAGGTCCATGCAAAAATTACTTCCATACGTACGAAGCATCAAATTTATACCCTTCCTAAGATATTCAGAGCTCTTTACCTTTTAACCAATGAAAGTGTTGATTTCTAAAACAAATCCAAAAGTCCTTCCAAGAATTTCATCAAATCCAGGAGAAAAACTGTTATATTCATGGGATAGGTCAGGGGTAGGCAACCTTGGCTCTTTTATGACTCGTGGACTTCAGCTCCCAGAATTCCTGAGCCAGCAAGGCTGGCTCAGGAATTCTGGGAGTTGAAGTCCACGAGTCATAAAAGAGCCAAGGTTGCCTACCCCTGGGATAGGTCAATAATGCTGGGATGTGCAAGGAGAAATAATAAAAATATTTATGTAGCTTTGTAAAGACTGCCACATGAGTTTAATTTAGTTTAAATTTTGCCAAAATTTTAGGAATATGTACTGAATTGGTAGCAAATAGTAGTTATAATTAATTCATTAACATATGTTTCCTTAACATCAAACATGATCAGCATGGAATAAATCTCAGCAGCTATCTACATGGAATTACTCTTAGAAAAGCTACAATCTATGCTACACAAAAAAAGCTCTTCCTGTTCTTACCTTACAGCTGAGATTTGATCTTCAACTTCATAAACCCCAAGTTTTCGATACACCGCATGCAACATCTTATCACCTTGGAAAGCTGTTCCTCTGCCATCCACAAGTGCTACCACAATTTCTTCTTTGCTTGCAAGATAGCTTATCCAGCTAACGCTAAAGGTATGCTTCACATTTTGGCTACAAGGCCCTCCATATCTACAGGGAATATGAATGGAATTGAAAAGCCTTCTACTTTAACATCCAAAGATCATAAAATCTATATAAATAAAAATGTAAATGTTCGTTTGTTCAAAATCTTAAATCTCCTAAAGTTCTTCACCAATTGCTTTGAGATTTTGACACAATGTTGCATTCGAATACACGCATGTTTTTATATACCTTATACCTACTACTATATAGATGTCACACCTGTGACAGGTAAAACATGCTTTTTTTGAAAAACAGCGCCATCTGTTGGACGTAAAAGCAACACCCGCTAGCATTGTGAAATTAAACATATTACAAACGTGCACTTTCTCTTTTCTTTCTTTTCCATTTAACCAGACTGAGCCACAGCAACACGTGGCCGGGTACAGCTAGTATTTAATAAATAGCATAAGAAAAAAAATGGAATGATGAAGGACTTCCTCATTAGAATTTTGGAATTACTTTTCAGACACAGAATGACACAGTGGTTAAAGTTTTTGGACTATGATTGAGAAGACTACCCTCAGCCAAAGAAGTTCACTAAGTATCTTTGGACCAACAATCCCCTTTTATTTCCTAAATATCCCACAGAGCTTTATTTGTCAATGACCAAAATAAAGTTTCTGTCTACCAGTCTGTCTGTCTGTCCCCTCTGTCTGTCGGTCTGTTTGTCTGTGTGTCCACAGAGCTGTTATGGGGGAAAAAATGATACCTTGAGCTCCTGAAGAAACAATGGTAGTGATAGCAAATATTAGCTGAAGGTATTCTTTCCTGTATTACTTTGGGCTATCCTGCTTGAGAAAAGCAGCCTTACATGGAGTTTTTCCTGAAGATGAAGAGGATCTTCTGCATACTCAGCATACATTCTAATCCTGGTGTGCTGTGGCCAGCTTTGCAAAGCACTCTTTTTAAAACTTTAGATTTTAAAAACGTCATGTAGTCAAATTCCCCAGTCTCACTTGGTAATCTGGCAACCCTACCTTGGTTTCAGGGGCAGATTTCAAACCCCCTTCATATATAATAATATTGTAATAATCCCTTCTTTTTCATTTTATCACACTATTGTTGTTTCTGAGCTTGCTTCTGAGGCTGATGTTCCTCCAGGTACTCTTCCTAATCTGTTGGATGTCACAATACATGAAGAGTTTGTAGTTATAGAAATAGGCAGATTGGGCGGTAGTCTGTAAGCTTTGGGGCATTTTTTACGGATATATGTAAAAATCTATGTGAGCTATTTTCTAGCTATGATGTACAATATTTTACAGCAGTAGTATCATATAATGATGTACCAGCTATTGATAACTTTGACAATATATACAAGGTATATAGGGAGGACAATTGAATAAAATGTTACATACACCTGTATAAGAAGAGGATATTTCTTGGATCTATCAAACTTTGGAGGTAGAAGCATCTTGTACCATAAAGCTAGAAGTAAAGGGGTGGGGAGAGAAAGAATGAATGAATGAATTGATAGCATAAGAAATGTCTGTAATATTGGTCCTTTATCTAAGAATTATAGCTAGTTATGTAGGTTTAATTTTCTGCTAGGTTATGTCAATGTTTCTCAACCTTTGCCATTTTAAGTTGTGTGGCATTCAATTCCCAGAATTCCCTAGCTGGCAAGGCAGGCTGGGGAATTCTGGGAGTTGAAGTCTACATATCTTAAAGTTGCCAAGGTTGAGAAACATTGGATTATGTGATTACTTAATTCAATGGCAAATATATATATATTAATTTACGTAATCAGATATGGTGTCATTATTATTTGTAGTAGCAAAGTAGCAATTATTATATTAGTATAACAATTATTGTTTGTAGCATTAGCAAATGATAATAAAAACATTGGGTTTACTTTTATAAAAAAAAAAGAGACAGTCTTAGGAAAAAGAAACTGGGAAATTTTACTTCTGAAAATTTACCAAGAAACTACATGGACCTATCCATGTAATCCTCAGGAGCCAAGATCGACTTGAAGGACCATAAAAGTTACAGTTAACAACAGTGACCACAAGTGATAAGGAATATACAGTATGTAGCTGTAATCTGATACTATCCTTAAATAATATGCCACTGCAATAATGTGCAAACACAGAGTTTAAAATGTACTGCTGGTCTGTCTTCATAAAAACTACATGGAATATTACTTGGGAGTCATAAAAACTTGGGATGTGCATGTCTGCGTGTGTGTTGAAAGATTCATAAAAAATATAATCTACAGGTACTTGCTTCAATCTGAGTTCTTGGCTAATGTATGTAACTTTCTTGGGTCCCTGCTTTATCTCACGTGATGACCTTCTTTAACAATGGTAATGGGGACTGCCGGAACTGCCACTGTTAAGCAGCACAGTCACATGATGTTGTGCTTTATGACACATCACTTAGTGACAGAAATTCCAGTCCTAATTACCAGTATTAAGTAAGGACTAGCTCTACTCACAGGGAGTGACCAACACCTCTTCTTAGCCCATTTCTAGGTTGGACAGAAGAAGTCTATGTGAAACTTCTTTTGGCAGATTAAGATCCCACAATAATACTTACGGTTGCAAAGTTTGCATTGTTGATAGCCAAGTAGACTAAACACCATTGCAGGCCTTTTTTTAATATATCATGCATGCCACATTGTATTTTGCATTATACACTGCATTTTCTATTATGAAATCTGTGGTTTGTGATGCCTGATAAAATCTGATTGACTCCTGAGAACTTCATGGATTTGTCCATGTAATTTTCTTGGCAACTATATAGAATTAGATTTCCATCACTGTGTTCCAGGATGTTTTTTCAACTTGCCAATTTAGCCTACAGATCTTTTATTCCTTTATAGTATCTAAGCATTAACAAGGCCTCGTGCTGGTTAGCTCTTGAGCCCAGACAAGACCAGCCAGATGATGCTATCTGCAAAGAGGTAAGAAAAACATTCTCCTAGATCAAGGGTAGGCAACCTTGTCTCTTTTATGACTCGTGGACTTGAACTCCCAGAATTCCTGAGCCAGCCATGCTGGCTCAGGAATTCTGGGAGTTCAAGTCCACGAGTCATAAAAGAGACAAGGTTGCCTACCCTGTCCTAGATAGTCCTCGAATTATGATCACAACTGAGCCCAAAATTTCCGTTGCTAAGCAAGGGCAATTGTTGAGTGAGTTTTGCCCCATTTTATGATCTTTCTTGTCATATTTGTTAAGCAAATCAGTGCAGTTGTTAAGTGAATCATTTGGTCATTAAGCAAATCTAGGTTCTCCATTGACATCAGAAGCTGGCTGGGTAGGTTACAAATTGTGATCACATGATCCCAAGCAGTAAAACTGTCATAAATACATGCCTGTTGTCAACTGCCTGCATTTTGATCACATGGGGATGCTGCAAAAATCTTAAGTGTGAAAACTGGTCATAAGTCACTTTTTTCAGTGCTGTTGTAACTTCAAATGGTCACTAAATAAATGCCTGTAAGTCAAGGACTACATTTATTCACTTTCTCCAGATCAAACTTAAAGATATACAACTCATAACATGTCCTTTATTTTATTCTAAGCCAAAGAGCCATAGGAGAATTGCTCCAATTCCTCATCCCTTTGGTTGCACATATCTGTGCTATACAGTCTTTGTCTGGGAATAGGCTATTAATGTATAGGATTCCAGTAATTAATGTCTTAATACACTGTTGAAAAAAACCCTCTACTGTACTGTTTCTTGATCTAAATTCAGATATCACACCGTCAGTTTTTAAATAGCAACTATTTAGTTCTTGTTCATACACTGAAAAATTAGGTGTGAAAAACAAATGATACTTACTTATGCCATCCACTTCAAGTTTGTTAATCTTCTGTATTGGTAAACTGATTTTTTGCAGAGCAGACTCCAAATCTGCATTGTCTTCTAAGACTTTAATTTCTGTATATAAAAAGTTTTGAATTAGAAATACATTTCTCATGGATTCTCTGTTCTTGAACTGTTACACCATTGGATACCAATAAAAGGTTAAATGTCAAGTCTATTCAATTTAAATGAATAAGTGAACTTCCCAAGTTTATAATTATGGAAATACCAAAAGTTTCATGAGGTAACTGAAACAGAGTGGAGATTTTCCTAGAAAAATACATGGATTGGGGGGGTCAAGTTTCTTGGAATTGAGGTAGACTTTATTATAGGTGGTAAATTCAATTTATTAAGGTAATCTGGATATAAATCATGTAATGTGTGGCTAATTTCATATACATTGTTAAGTGTTTAATTGATTGAAAGAAGTTAATCATGATAAAGTATTTATATCATGATTCTGCTGTATAGTTACTTAACCTAAAAAGCAAACAAATAAATAAATAGCAAAGCTAGTATTATAATAGTTAAAAAATGTTTGTACCTTTTCCAGGTTTATGTGCCTAAAACGTTATGGAAACTGATTATGAATACCAAATAGTTTCTAACCCAAATAGAGTTTTGTCTTTTCCTACTTGCAATGGGAGCAATACAAGTCAGCTTTAGATGAAGTGTAAAACCATTTTATCATTCTGGCCCTCAGAATCAATGACCTTTTCCTCGCTTGTGTTTAATTACAGCACAAACATGCTCTGGCATTATTATTTTTTCACAGTGACCCATGACAGGGCCTTCCTCTCTTCTCACTCCGCTGAGTCATGCTGAAGCTGGTCTTTGCTGTACGAGTTTTGAAGTATGGCTTTTCTCCTTATGCCCACAGCACCTAAGATTAGCCTCGAGGTCTGTAGAACTGGTTAGGCTTTGACGCCCATTACCTTGGAGGAAAATCAGCGGACTGACAGTGACGGGGAACAGAAACAACAGACATATATTTTTTAAAATTATTTCAAGATTGATAATGCCAGTCAACTCACACACAGTGTGACTCTGGGTGGTGGGAGGGATATTAAAAAGACTGAAAATAAAGAGAGAAAACATCATGCCCACAGTTTTGCCTCAAGGACGGATGGAGAAGACTTCGACTCAGAAGCAGAGAAAGATTCTGTGACAGATAGACAGTACGCTCATAAAAAAAAAAAAGCTAGGTCACACCAGGACATTGGAGGATAAGATATAGGCAGAGCTATACTTTTTTAAATGCAGGACTGGTGACTATTCACTTTTTTTTTTTTTTTGCAATATATTCAACAACCTGATCTGATATTAGCTTAAAATATAACAAGTATGCATTGGAGATACTGTAGCAGCATGATGCTTTAGGAATCCTTTTGGATCTGAACTATTCTTTAAATTATGCTATGCTGCTATAGCAATCCCTCCCATGCTGCGTTCATTTGCTCCTAAACATAAGTTTGATAAAGTACTCTTTATTTTCTGATTGCTATATTATTAAAAATGGGTGGTTTAGGGAAGAAGATCTATGTTTTGGAAAATAATTTATGAAAATGTGATGTACAGACAAGCTGAATGAGAGTAATTTTGGAAGCATATTTGAACAGAATTGATCAAAAGGATTTCAAGGAAAAATCTGCAATTCTTTTTTTTTATGTATTGTTTAATCTCTGGGCACATTTATTCGGATCTAAATTCCACTGATTTAATTAGTACATATTCTTACTTAAGTGTGCATAAGGTATATTTAGGCATCTCTTCCAATGATTGTAAATAGATTTATTCCTACAAAAGTGTATACAGAATTTCATTCTTATGCTATCATCAAGCAAACAAATATGTATCATATAAGGTACCTTTGTTATATCTGTTATCATATATAGTAGAAATGGGGATGCCTGGGCCTGCAGTAATGATTAGAATAAAAAGAGAATCTCCATTAAAAAAAAATATCTGAAACGACACTACTGAAAATCATTTCATTGCTTAGCTACTTGCATATTCCCATTTGTTCATTCACAGGTTTTTTTTTCATAAGCTTAACATTTTAATTTGAGCAAAATGCAAAGCCCAGTTGGATGTTAGAATGACAGTAGAGCTATAGAGACCTGGATTCACATTGGAAATAACTTCCTCAATGTTCATCAATTCCCTTTCTTGTTGCAGCTACTTCCTCACATTCTGTACATTTTGTGTAGTCCTGCAATCTTCATGAGCAGATTTGGGAAGATGCATTCAAATTGCAAGATGCACTCAACTGAAGGGGAAAAGCAGAATGTTTGAGCAAATGTATTCTAATTTCGACATGTCTTATTCTTCTAATAAATTTAGCCTGGCCCAGATTAACAATAGAAGAGAAGGCCCTATACTGCATTATTGTAGATAGGATCATCTAGCTAGTTTGCAGCCAGCTTGTTGTCCAAATATTTAGCTTCGTCTATAGTTTAAATGTTTCTTCCTTCCAGATCAGAAGCCAAAAATCTTTGCCTTTTCTTCATATTCATGTGTTTTCAGCACAAAAGGACACAATAAGAAAATGATGTAACATGCATCACAATGCCACAGCACACATGCAAATACCGGTATATAGGTCGTGTGGGGTCTCATGATACACATTTAGCCATTTGCTTCCTTTTATCCCCTGCAAATCCCCTGATATTTCCATCTTCCTGCTTTATTCTCCAGTCCAGCTATCACATCTTTCTCTCTCTCATTTTCTCTCTCCCTCTCTCCCTCTCATTCTCTTTTTCTCTCTCTTTAGTATGCTGCCAAAAAAGAAAAAAAATAACCTGAGAATATGCTGGTGAAAATTATTCAATCTCTCATCATTTCACAGGTTACTAAAATGTGCTCTACTTGAGGCTGCTTTAGAATGGATTGTGGGATTGCAGGATTCGACCCACAAATGTCTGCTTTTATATTATAGAGCAGAGATCCCCGACCTTTTGGGCATCAGGGACTGGTTCAATGGAGAGAGTTTTTTCCACAGGCCGGAGGGGGCGTGGTTTCGTGTGCTATCTGCATCCCACGGATGGGGGCTTCGCTTGTTTGTATGGACCAGCTTCTGGCATGCCGCTGACTGGTGCTGGTCCATGGACCGGGGGTTGGGGACCCCTATTATAGTGTAGAGAACAGTATCCAGTTTCTTGGATTCCACAGGTACAAAAACATCTCTGATCATACTGCATGGCAGTAAGATGCAGTAAAACCTGGAAAGTGATGTCCTTTTGCCACTTTTATTGCCATGGTTTATTTAGGCCTTAAATTGGGTTTATACCCATGTTCATATACATTATTATTTTGCTGTCACTGATGCTTTACTATTGCTTCATTCTTAAAGTTCCTCCATGAATCACGAAGCACCAAGGATTGGTGCACAGAGAGGGGCCAATTGGGAAAAAAAATATCTCCTTTTGAAAGCTTTGTGGAACTGCTTATCTAGTAGCTAAGAAATTTCTGCAAGAGTTATCTGGAAATCCATGTCTCAAGATTCCTGGGGCAGTCATTCTAATTAATCTTCTCTCCCTGCTAAGATTAGCAATGGTGGCAAGTTTTAGGATGGTCAAACAGTAAACTGTCTATGACAAAAATCTCACAGAAATGACTTCCATATTCAATTCACAGATTAATTACTTCAAAGTCCAATATATGTGGGTTTGTATAAATCAGGAGATGTCTCGGGACAAGGCCATTAAATACTGAACCACTCCTGACTTGGCCTGTAATTCATGGAGATTGAAATTCCTCAACAGCCAAACACCTGGGAGTCTCAGTCTACACTTTGGACAGTACTTGAAATACACAAGGAGCGGAGCATCCTGTTCACCTTCAAGGTTACCTTCAATAAAGAGGTCTTCTAACAGAGAGAGCTAGCATTTTAATTGCAGCTAAAGACCAAAGCTTCCAGCAATTTTGCATTAAGACTCCCAGGTCAAGGGGTTAGGTTAGGGATAGAAGTGAGGACTGGCATCAAAATGCCCATCTCTCTTTTCCCCTGCAACATCCACCTCAAACTCTCCCATCATATCTCTTTTCCCATCATTATGTAAATCTTTCTCAAGCCTCTTTTGCCCAATAATTTCCACTGCCCTTTTTCAGTTCTGTCCTCTCTGGAGCCTCTATATTCCACCACTCTATGTGATTACCTGGTTACCTGGTCACTCTAACCAGACACATACTGTACATCCATATCATCAACTCAAACAATTCCTTTTTCTTATTAGCATTGAGAAATTTACTTCTCTGTATGTGAGCATCTGCAGCAAT